GCCGGAGAATTCAAGGTTAATTTTGGTTTTCTTGATGGAGTCTACGTTTGTCGCCGTATAAAACTAGGAAAGAAAATCTGTAGGGGTTTGAACTATTTCAATTTGGGACAAAGTCAGAGGGCGCAATGACCATTAAAAAAGTTTGAAGACTAGTACCTGACTGGGCACTATTCTCTGGAATTGATGCGCATGTGAAATGTCTGGGCGCGTGTCTAGTCACGCTGACGCCAAATTCATTTACTACGCTATCCGGTTCGAAAAAGTGACTCCGTCACACAGGTGGACGCGCCACGACTTGCAGGCACCAATTACGCGTAAACTCCTGAATCCACGGTTCCATGTAAACGGCCATCAGTGCATGTAAATCTATGTGCAGTGCATGTCATTGGGTGTGGTTTAAACTGAAGTGACGTCACGTATGTTTCAGAGGGAAAATTATTAACTGCGCATGTCCTATTTTTAGGTTCAATTTTGCATGCGCAATGAGGGACATGGGAATTCGTGCCAGACAAACAGCTCCTTCATTTCATGAAAGTTACGTCTTATTTTCACTTTTTGGAAATAAAAATTCCTGCCTAACATATTTTCATGGTAAGATAAGGTCTTTTCCTAACGTGTTTTGTGAAAATACAATTGAGAAATAGTACCAGACTGGTCAAAACTAGTGATTTTTGTGAAAAGCTCTTTTTGTAAGCGGTAGTTTGTTTACGTTTTGATGCGATTTTTGAAGGCTCGAAACAAATAGTTTGAAATTTTCCTAAAATTTTCAAAATTGGCCTGAGGTGGAGAAAGGTGTGAAGGTTTTAGATTTGCTGACGGTTTTGCGCTAGATTTTTTTCTCTTCCCGACCGGATGCGTTTGCATATCGACCTTACTCAGCACAGATTCCGTTCATCCTACCTGACGGCCTTGCTAGCGTAAGAATTCAGTGACTCAGCTGGGAACCGAAAGACTCAAAGTACAGAAGGTTAACATGAAGTTCATTATTTGAACCAAGGTCTATCTGTCATTATAAAAATGCCAGGAAAATGTTGAAATTCACGGTATATATCCCCGGTTTTACATGTACATGTCATATACAAGCATGAACCACATGAACATGTACACCGGCTCCGTCGAGAATTTCCATGCAGCTGAGCATGTACATGTACATGTACATATAAATGTACATGTACTGTACATGTACGCCGCGGTACGCGTGTAAAAATCTGCTGTGTACAGTACATGTACAAGCACGTACATGTACGTGTACATGCACTTGTACCGTGCATGGTACGTGGCTGGATCGGTCTTGTGCATGTAAAACACGTAGACATCGCGCTGCGCGCAAGCATCAAATATAACTTGTGAAAGTCGAACAAAAAATGATCTAGCTACATAGAACTGATTGTTTTGTGTAGTTTAGATTCTGGCCTGTCATATGCAGTGTCTCACTGTTCTGGGAAAACTTCTAAAATTGAGAAATTTAGTGGAAAAAAGACAGAGTGATCGATTGAAAATAGAAATAATTTGTCATCTTAGCAACCACGTTGAGGCTAAATTTCATATTTATGTGCATTTCTTTTCATGATTCTGTAGTGTTTTATTCGGTATAAGCCTTCTAGAGCACAAACAAAGGGTTTCAATGTGATCGTTTGTTAACTTTGTGCAAACGAAGTCTTCAAAACGAGAAGGTCAACAGTTAGTAGGGACATTTCTGTACGGTTCACGAGGGTCCGGTCAAGTAACCGCCGCGCACGGTCGAAGTCGTTAATTTCCACACATTGGATGGTGGCGAAACTGACGTACGTCAGCCTTACGAACCGAATATTAGTGAACCACACCGGCCCGTATGTCAGCCAACCAGGATAAAGAACCGGGAAGAAGTGTGTTATAAATGATTTCTATGGCATAAACATAGACATAAATAACCTGTAGACCGACAACAGCTGGCGCCAGAGCGTAATTTCACAAAAGCCGCCATTTTCAAAACCATGCGCGCGGGTAAGACTTGACAGAAGTAAACATTAGCCATGAAATGATTAGTGCACTGAAAGAACAATCGCCACAGATAAAGGTAGTTTGCGGTATTATTACTTGTTTCAACAGGTCATGTCACGGCAGCCAGTCAGCATCTGGCTTAGGCCAGAAGCATGATAAGCGTAGGCCAATCATGCCAATGTTAACTCCAATCTCCCAATTTCCTGTAAGCAGAGCCGGTAATTATAGCTACATTTGCCCTGCACTTCAACGTAAGGCAATTCAGGCATCGGCCCCTTATGTACTTACATAATGTAAGGGCCAATAATTTAAGGACCCATCGGGCCCTTATATCTCACCATGCTCGAGGTTGATGCGTTTTTAGTTAATTACGTCATGTCTGGGTGTGTAATGCTAGTGGTTTGAAACACAACAAATTAAACTCTCTCAGTTTACAGCGATTCGTTACCCACTTCCTGAGATGCCAGAGAGTGTTTGTAGGCCTACATGTACTTCAGTGTAGAGCAGAGCGCTTAACAATTATACTGAAGAAAATGGTATGACTAGTGAGATACATTATTTATTATATCTTTGGATAAAAAGTGAGATACAGTGGCTTAATGAGGTCTGAAAATTCTGCACATGACTCACTTCACTTGTAACGTTAGTTTTATATTCACATGCTTGTAAATACTAGTATTCCAGTAATTTTGTTCGAACGGAGATATAGTACATGCAAATGTTACTTAATGCCAATTTTTGTTTGAAATTTGATTTTGACAAGCAGTGTTTCCCTTTTCTCTGATTCATATTTTGTAGAAATTTAAAAGCTGCACCATTGCTAAAACGTCGGCCACGGCGATGCGCTTTTCTTTCAAGGTGAGAGTAATTTCTTTTCTCTTATTGCCAGAGGACCTCACCCTATTGAGAATAGTGGGAACATTTCTGCCACTTTAATTTGCATTTGGTTACGTCAACCTGTATTTCAAGGAACAGGTTGTCCATGTTAAGAAAAAAATATTGGCGGAAAATATCAAATCACTATCCATCTTATGAATTTGACTCTGTCACTCAAATTCATGACATGCCAACGATACTAAAAAGTTATACTGAATATTAAACCTTACAAAGTAAATAGTTGTGCATAAAATGAAATAGTTAATGGTCTGATGTATGCATGTGAAATTAAGAAGTTTTGCCCATTCGTTTCTTTTCCTTGTAATATCTGATTCCGAATTATCAATTTTCGAATTACATTTCCCAAATACTTAATTCCGACAGTTTACATAATGATGGGAGAGATGACTAAGTATGACATTTTTAATAATTCATAATAACGTGTGAATTTTGCAGGGAACATAGCTCCCTTTAAATGCCAATGAATTTAATTCAATAAATAAACTGTGGAAGACTAATCCTCACGGTGCTTTGCCTTTTGGCACGACTAGATTGGATTAAAGTAGTGGATGGCCGACATTTTCCCGCAACTCTCCATTTGGGTAAAGCTGTTCAATTATGTTGGCCATATAATTCTTTTACATAAACATGCACAGTTTAAAGATGAAAATTTTTTGAGAAAATTAAATAGTTAAAAATGGTTAACTTAGAGCTGCCTTTGGTTACTTGGAACACTTTGAAATAAAAAAAAATGAACCAAATTGCTTTTTCCGACTGTCATCTGTTAATTACTTATTTCGAAAGTATTCAAATAGTCAATTATTGATCATTGCCACAGTTCCACTCTTTTCAAGTTTCTGTTCAATTTTCACTGTTTTTTAAGTAACAACTTATGTAAGAAATCTGCCACCTTGGTTATGATCTATTCATACACTGAACAGAGTCCTGAACGTCAATAATTATGTCACAAAAAGTTACTCCACTTATATTCAACTCAGTTTAGGACCCAATTTCATTGAAATATATTTTAACGCAATAGCAATTTGTTGAGTGGTAGCGGGGTCCTATCATAGTTGTGTAGGGGACAGGTACCCATACGTCAGCCAGGGCTGACACGCCACACTAAACGTTGGCGCCAGACTAATGACGAGTAGTATGTAATTGAGCGTGCTGCGCGCCAGAGGGTTCAGTTCCTTCTCCATTCGTTCTCAGTTCTCACCAAGTACAGTCCGACTCCAGGACAAGTGCACCACTGTGAAAAGTCAGTTTTGGCGTGCACGTGCAGTGGTGAGTGGACGTAAAACTTCTAGTTTGTCGGATTTAGGGCTAGAAATTGGCCAGCAGAGTCTTACGTTTTGGGAAAACATCCTTTAATTAAATGTAGTGCTCCGATGGCGTTACACCTGTAGCCCGCCTACCTAGGACTATTCCTGCACGGCTCCTATATAGGTCTAGGTTTCAGGGGCTAAACCTCCACGTTACAAGTGCAAATTATAGGTTACCTTTGATTGAAATGATTGGGGAATAAAGGATCGATAAATCAGAGAAGGGTGCCCCGTGTCTGTATTTGAGTGGTCTCACCCATCCCAACAGCCCCTTCCCTGCCCAAGTGCGAATATTCCATGTGCTGCAACAATAGGTCATCCAAAGCAATGGGGGGGGGGAACTCTCTGTGCCTGGTGGTGGACTGCCCCAAACGAGCCTGTTCCCCAGGACTTCTCAAATCGGCGGAGGACGTCTCTGGGTTGCCGTCGGTGCAGACCACCACAATTTGGTGTCAGAAGTGGGATAGGCGCAGCGATCCTTTTACAACTAAAGAGCACCTATACCTATAGAAGCACCTGAGAAGGTGATTACTCAGAACTCAAAATATATACAGATCATCGGGATCACCACAGACATGTTCAACGTGGAGGACGAACTAATGTCACTCCAGCTTGATATCCGCGAACAGTCTCGAGAAAAGAACCGGAAACTGAGGGAGTTACCTTTGCCTCAGGGCCGCCTACTGAGCAAAAAGCTACAGCCAACACACCTTAAACATACAGAGACATCCACTGGGTTGTCGTTGATCACGCAGTTCTGCGATGACAGGAGTGTTTCTACAACCAAGGGGTCTGGAACATTTACTCCATTATGGTCATTCAGGCCAACTCCAAAGCCAAGATGACAGGCACCAGTACCCACACCAGTTTCTTCAACTATGGTTGAGTCGGTGACACGTGCACAGAGTGGTTTATTTGTAACAATGACGATTTTTGGGGACCGGGCAAACCTGTTAGTGGATACGGAAGCCATGACCATGTTTTTTCATCCACTTCATTGTGCAAGATTTCGACAGAAGACCGGCCAGTGCTAAGGAAAATGGAGACAAATGTACAGGTGTGGATTGAACTCAGCTAGTGAGCATCGGCATTGCATGGTTGGAAATTCGAGTTGGGAAGACGACTTACCCAATTTTTTCCGCGTTTGGTAATGTAACCTGGACACCTCATCAGAAAGCATCCTAGGGATGGATTTCTTGCTGCCTACGGGCGGAACGTTGAATTTCAGAACTCTAGAGCTCTCAATCAACGGGAAAAGGATATACAAAGGGAGAAGAGTGTTCGCCAGGGTGGTGGTACAGCGTACGAAAAAAAATCCCAGCTGGCCAAGAAGTGATTGTAAGAGGGTGTGTGAAGAACAAAAACACCTGTCAAGGGGTATGGAGTCATCTAACCCGTGGATAGAAGGGAAGTTGCCAGCGGAGGAGTGGTGGTTGCCCGCACGCTGGTGAAGACCGACGAAGATGTTCTTCCAATTCGAGTCTGCGATCTGGGGAAGCAAGTGTGTGTAGTAAAGGAATGCATGAGGGCAGGCACATTAATCAGCATCAATGAGGGAGACATAGAATATTGAAAATACCAAAACGCCGGAGTCAACCTAACAAATAGGAGTTCCGGAGCATCTTGTTGACCTGTACAGGCGGATTATGGAAGCAGTTCCAGCAGAATTTCATGGTAAAACAGCGAAATAGCTGAGCAGTTGCAGTGATGACTTTTCTAAGAATGATGTAGACGTCGGTCGCACTAGTTGTGTGAAGCACGGCATAAATACAGGAAATGTGAGACCTATGAAGGAAAGACCAAGAAGGTTCTCTCCAAAGGAACAAAAAGAGATACAGCAGCAGGTTCAAGAACTCCTGGAAGATGGCAGAATCGAACCATCCGACAGCCCGTGGGCTGCAAACATGGTCTCGGTAAAAAAGAAGGATTGCTCCAAAAGATTTTGTGTGGACTACCGCCACCTAAATTCTGTGACATTGAAGGATGCCTATCCAATGCCGATACCCTGACAGGTGCAGGCGGGTTTCCACCTTGAATCTCTCATCGGGGTATTGGTAGATTGAGTTGGATGAAGGAGCCAAACAAAAGTCAGCTTTTGTGGTGCGGAGTGGTTTGTATTGCTAGCGGATTATTCCATTCGGCTACTGCAACGCTCCTTCGACGTTTTAGCGATTGATGGAGCGTGTGCTTGCTGGTCTGCAGTGGAAGACGGCCCTCGTCTACCTGGACGTGTTATCGTTTTTGTACAGATGGTGCAAGACAAGTTATAGCGCCTGAGGAGGGTGTTGAAGCGCCTTAGACAGGCCGGACTAAAACTAAAGCCCAGAAAGTGTCCTACAGCAGAGTGTTTTATACCTCGGGCACGTGGTATCGAGTAACGGTGTGGCAACTGACCCGAATAAAGTACAAGTACGAGAATGACCTACACAGCACAATGTGACCGAGGTGCAGAGTTTCTTAGGGTTGGTCAGGTAGCATCATGACTTTTTCCGGTATCGCCCGACCACTATATCGACTAACTGAAAAAGGACGAGAGTTTAAATAGGATGAGGAGAGTGAGGCCGCGTGGGACGCGCGGCGGAATGGGAGGGCGAAACAGGGAGGTGGTTGGGGGTAGAGGGTAGAGATACAAGGACGGGAAAGCTGTTCGGGAAAATCAAATGTAACGGGTGATTATTCAGTTGGAAAAAGTGACAAATCGAGGACAGAAATGTAATTGGAGGAGGCAAAAGCGAATGAACGCATGGGTGACATCATAGGCCAGTGACGCAAGCGCGGTTGGAAGATTTTTAGACGTTGATTGGTCACCAAGGCGCCGAAAGGAAATCTTGGCAAAGAGTTACAGGTCCTTTATAACGCCCCTTTGACATGTGCCCGTCATTCGCCCTACTAGATCCGAAACGAGAAAATTTAGCGTTAACGTACCTGAAAGTAACACGAGATGGCTGCACCATCTGGAATCTGCCAACTAAAGGACACGCTGCCAGACACATGCTCAACTGCACAACTGACGCATGCTCAAGTGAAACGAGGTTGGCGTGAATGTTTCAGCTTTACTGAGAACAGACCGTACTATTTTTAACATTTACAGCCGAGAAAGCCGATGGACCCAGCCGTCAACCCCACTGGTGCAGGGGGAAGAGATCCAGGATAGCGGCCTGCGATAGACGTGCTGTAGGCATATCAAGCATTACGAAGATTATTTCGTCGGTCAGGTCGGGCGCGGTCATCCGGTATTCACCGGCCTGAGAACTCAGAGGGTCTGTGGTCTGGGAGGGATTTTGGGCGGTCTTTTCCGGTCGGTCATACCCCTGCTTAACCAGGGTGCCAAGAGTTTGGGCCGCAAGGCTCTACGAGAATCGCCCAGGTGCCCAGAAAGGGAGGGGTTGAAAGCCATTGTCAAAGACAGACTCAGGCACTCCGCAAGCAATCTGGCTCAGACGGCAATACACGGTGTGGACTCCCGACTCCCCAGACAACCTCTTAAAGACGCGCCATTTCCTCAGCCGGCAGGATAGCTAAAAGGTCGAGAAATATCTTTGACTGACTCCCTCACACGCTACAGTCACTAAGTTACACCGCCATGTTGCTGATGCACGAGTCCTGCGAGTTTACCAAGTCCAGATTTGACATATTCTCCATCCCACCCATGCAGACCAGCACCGTTTTTACTATCGCCGATGGAGGAGGGGTACGTGGATCTCAACCAGACTGAGCTGTAAGTCAGGGCCAAGATCATGAAGGCGGACGATTTGAACCTTTCGGACGACGATCGCTTCGGTCCAGTCAATCTTCTATCTATACCCTCTTTTCAGTGAAATTGACGTCAGTTGAAAGAGCGACTTATCTCTCCCTCCAACCCAAGTTATCCCTACCGATCCATCTTGGAGCTGCTCAAAGTCCCAGCTCAAAGCGAGGTTGTTTTACAAAGACACCACTGGCCGGATGGACAGCGCCGACTAGCGGGAGGCGGGCGATCAAGTCAGTCTCGGTCTGAAAACACAGGACCAATCCACCAACAATAGCGGAGTTGTTGACAGGATGGGACGGATACACAGACAATTCTTCCAGGAAAACATATTCTGAACTGAGTTGACCTCAAGCTGAAACTGATCTGAAGCAGCGATGCCTTTTGCCTGATTGCCACCAGCCCCAACCCTTCCTATAAAGTGGTCATTTTTAATGCCTCCTTAATACCGTCAGAAAGGTCAAAGTGAGTTTGGCCGTCTCGGCAGGACATGCCAATGCTTTGGAAAAGGGCACTGCTAAACACTCCATCAAGCGTAATCTCTGCAAAAATGGTATCAGTGCTGCGAGGTCACCTCACTTTCAGCCAGGACCACGTGTTTTTAGGGCAGCTGCCGAACCGCTTCATATATAGTGGGGTGCGTAACCAACGAAGCGTTCAATGAACGGTACAGAAAGAACCCCTTCAATTTCAAGCGCACTGCACATTAGCATCTCCTTTGCAGCGATGTACGTCGATAGATATCAGGTACTGTATTCTCTCCTGAAGCGGAGCCCAAATTCGGCGTGCCAGCAAAAAAATAACATCAAACCTACTACACACTCTTCTCCAGCACGGATGAAATGTACAAGGACCTGGGCATCGGCATCACTCGTGACGACTTCGCGCAGTGTTTGCGTTTGATCTCAGCCGGACTTGACGGTGGATGGGCATTACAGCCTCGTGAGGTGGGGCATCCTGAGGCTGGAGATGCAGTTTGCGGAACCGCTCCAAGAAACTTTAACGTACGTACTCACAATTTGATTTTCGACTACAACTCGATTCCTACCGAGGGCTGCTTCAACTGTAGCGGGTATAAACATTTCTCCGAAAGAATGCCTCCCACACTCGCCATAATCACCACCCGCTTCAAGAACCGCTATCGGCCGTCTTCGGGAGGTATTGTATCTCCTTCCTGTTGCAACGGTGTCGGAACTGAGTTTGGGCAAGATTGTCACGTCTGCCAAAAATATGTTAGGTGGCAGTCAATTTGCTGCGTCTTTGCAACTAGTGTAAGTAAATCTTACGCGAAATTAATAGGTGGACTAGAAAACTAAGGAAAACACTCTTTCATCATTATTCCAGATTAATTGCAATGCGATAATTATATACACGTCAGCTTCCCAACAATGTTTGTGCCACTGATGAAGCTACAAATTTCTTTGTTCAGTAAATAAATGTTTTCTTTTGAGATACTGATATGCATTTTTATATAACCACACCACTAAAATGGCAGATATGAAGAATAAGTGCCCTTAGACATTTTATGAGTTTTCACCAAAATGGTAAAAATAAATTAAATTAGAAAAGGGGTAAAATGACTAGATTAAAATCCAGATAATTTTGATCAAAAATGTACAATAGCAAACGGGACAAAATAAATTCAGTCATCCATTAAATTACCTTGTTAGCCGTTGCTGTGAAGATCAGCGAGATGGCGAAATTGGATTTACACTCTTCTCCTCCTTGTTTGCTTGTGTGCATTGTTTGCTCCGCTTTTTGAGTCCTTTTCAGCTGATCTAGTTTTCCTAAAAGGAACTGGAATCTGGCAACAAATATCAGCAATGTCATCTTTTCATTTACCTTGAGAATAAACATGCAGACCACTTGTATGCGTGGTGAGCCGGAGCGTCGTCTCAAGGACACCATCGATGCTTTTCTTTCGCATACTGCTCGTTCATCTCCTCCTAGCTGATGTCACCGAGGTTATACCCTAAATGGCTATGAGGGTACAGCTGAGGCACAAATTGCATATCTAAAGTCAAACTTGAGGGGGAGATCGTATTAAAGTCTAACTTGACACAGAGGCCAATTTGTAGAAGCATATAATCTGGATATTCTTGTTTGTCCATTATCCCGATGCAAACGTTACCTTAAGGACAAGAACACCCAGCTTGACAGCTGGCAGTCATCATTAAGTAGAGGACGGACTACGCTATTTACCGGAGCATGTTTACCAATGACGTAATCGCTTTGTCTCTATGAACTCCTGTGTCCTTCCTCCGTGGCTATACCACACAAGGCATTCCAGACAGTGCAAACCCTTAGAAGGTCCCCATGAACCGACATGATCCATCCGTTTTTCTCTAAGCGGTTCAACTATGTGTTGTTTGCCAGGATGCCAAAAACGTGTAACAGTTCTGACTAATTATGGCGACTGCAAAAGTGACACTAAAGGCATTCGTTGCAAAACAAGTTCCACCGGAAGTCGTACAATCCAAAGACCTGCCGTCGTCAACGATAATAATAAGTACATGGGAAGTGACTTAGCATCACAAATGTGTCAGTACTGCACGCATCAACATAGATCCCTGAAATGGTGGAAACGCGTTTTCTTTGCAATTCTTGACATGTGTTTGGTTATTGCTACCATCGTGTACAACAGCATCCCCACAAAGCGTCCGCTCATACTAGCTCGGATTTCCGGGTCCATGCAGGTCATCGATGAATTGTTGTCCACCTGCAAGACGAGCAACTCAACACCACATGCCCTGAAACTGCACTCCTTTCAGGTGGACATTATCCCGGAAGAAGTAGGCAAGGCCAAAAACGAAACTATGTTGTTTGTAATACAAGAACCCAACGTAAGAAGACTCGTATGATTTGTAAGAATTGCCGTAAACCAATGTGTCTAACGTCAAGCTTTGAAACATTTTACAGTGTGCGTTAACATAACCTCGGGTAGTTTAGATTGTGCCCCCCCCCCATTTCAATGTTGCAATGGTTCGGCTTGGCCGCACACCAGCCTTCAACGCAACATTAGATGGGGGGGGGGCGGACGGATCAATTAGTTCCCAGAAATCAGTTAGAGGTCAGGAAAGTCCATTTTAGCAGCGACAGAGTACGGTATAAGCTTTTTCAATGAAAATGTAATATTTCGGATCAGTCTCAGGGGGTTTGTACACGGGGTGTACATGTAAAATGGACTCCATGTATGGAACTCTTTCCCCGATTTTTACCAAAACAACTGAAGTAATATTCTCCTTATTGGTTATCATTACTTTAGTCAATGGGGTGTCATTGCTGGAGTGGCTTTTCATGATCTCACTGGTGAGGGCGCTATATACCAAAAAGTGGCTAATAATTCTACATGGTAAACAACGGGAACTTGCACGTAATGTAAAGTGGTAAACACACGGACGTGTATAATAAAATCTGGACTCGCAATGCCCTTCAGCTTATAGAGATAATTGAACCCACTCGCGGCCATTTTACCGAGCCGAATACAAAGCTTTCCTGGCAATGCCCGCCTTTGTTCTTCCTGATGTCAATAGAAGGGAGCCAACCCACGCATTTGTTTTCGGCTCGGTAAAATGGCCGCTGGTTGGCTTCTTTTTCATACAAAGGCGTTGCAAGTCCAGGTTTTTTATATACGTCCGTGGGTAAACACTGAAAGCTGGAAAATGGTAACCTCGTGGATTTAACTCAAGCCTTTCCAAAACGAAGGGTGAACAATAAAAACTATTTCTGTATATTCTACAGAGACAATTATGGTTCCCGGAGTCAAGTTCCCTGGGGAGATATAACGAGTCTCAAGACGGACCCCAGCTTGTACCTAAGGCCTCGGTAAAATGTTAATGTTATTAATATCATGCTCCTTTGCTTTGCTCATCCGCATGCAAAAGTCTGATACTATCAAATGAACACAACAAGGCAGAAAAAAAAGTAATTGATTCTAGGTTTTATCTTACAGCATGGGAGAGGGGGGTTTCACAATGCGGCCGAGTGCTTCAACCTTCTGCTTGCAATGCAAACCTTACAAGAGCAAAAAGGAGCTTTCAATTCGAAAACAAAACATTTGGGTCAGACGCCTTAACATAGTAATTCAGAACAAATGGCTGTAAGATCTTAAGCTTTTTTGAACAACCATTGATTATTGTTAACGTTGTATGCATCACTAACGGGTAGATCATACAAACGTCATGTAAATAAATATGTACATAGTAATCTTACGAGCAAGTAAGGCCAAATAAGTACAATCAATATAAAATTCAAGTAATTATTATCAGCTAAAATTGAAGTAGGAAACAATGCGTATATGCAGTACAGTTGACTTCAATACTCTGAAAGGTTACAAGAAATTTAGTATTACATTGATTAACGAAATGTTATTAGGGAAATAATAAGTTGCAGAAACAAAGCATTAGAGACCATTCAATGACTTAATCCAAACAAATTTTGTATTGAATCGGCAGCTGCATTATATTTGAAAAAAGCAGATGAACTGCTTGTAAGGGCAACATAAAAATATCCAAGTATCCTAAATTTAAAGTTTTAACATTAAAACACCAGCAGAACACCAACAAAACTAAGGGAAAAGTATCAAATATGAAATTATCAAATTGTTGATTAAAATCTCTTTTGTATGGGTCTAAGATACAGCAAACACTGATAGAATAAAGCAAATATTGCTTCTGCAATTTTACCCACTGGGCAGTTACACAGACTAATAAAAAGCAAGAATTAGGCTATACGAATAGGAGAACGGCTGAAGCAGAAAAGCAGGAGTAATATAAGGTAATGTAGCATTTAAATAATATACAAAGATTACAGAGAACTAAGTAATCCCCTTTTGAAATAAGGACGTTCTATAGGACATTCAGACTATATATGCAGTATTAAAATTAATACAAAATTCAAAAGTCTTCCATCATGATCTTTCAGGCCTTTTTGCATGGATGTCTTCCCGCAGTCCTCCATTCATGACAAAATGAAACTGGTCCATTGTTAAAGCCAGCGACACCAAACTCTCTTCTATCATGGCCCTTCTGGCCTTCGGGATGCAAGTTTCCGGAACTCATTATTTGTAACATGTAAAATAAAAACTGTGGTGCATTGTTAAAGCAAGCAATACAAAAATCTCTTCCATCATGGCCCTGCAGGCTCTGTGGGATGCAAGTTCCCGGAACCCTTCATTCGTGACAGGTAAAATGAAAGATCTGGTGGATTGTCAAAGCAAGTGAAGGAATATTTGTTTTCAGAATCCTTTAATCATGGAAATGTATTAAAAGTCAGGTGCAGAGTTAACAAGTATCTTTCAAGAATCCAAATCGTGAATAATGGTCCAAAATCTGCTGCGTAATAAAAGAAAATCTGCCCAAGAATCCTAAGTTCGTGACAAATGAAACAAACTTCCCTGGGAACCTTTAGTTTAACCATTACAAAGAAGCAAAGCTGAGGTGCCTGAGGATCCTACAGCCATGAAAATGAAATGAAAATCAAGCTTAAAGTTAGAGTGTCTCTCCGTAATTCTCAGATCGTGAAAAAGTGAAAAAAATCAGGGGCATTATAAACACGATGCCTTCCCGGAATAATTCAATCATGAAAACTGAAAATAAAGATTTCATGTGGATTTTTATTACCAGTGAACAAAGATTTTCCCCATAATAGTCCCCTCCAGCCCCCTGGAGGAAATGCAACGCAAAACACTTTTTTTGCTAAAGACTGATTCCCCTTATCATTGAATGATCAACTCAAAACTACTTAACCAGCAATGATTGACATGATAATTTAGTTGTAAGGTTTATTTTAACAGGATAGTCTCATCAGTTAAAAACTTCTATCCTTGGAGGCCCTACAATAGTTCGAAAAATAGTAACAATGTTAAAACTAATACATGTATATATAGTATAAAAAGAAAACAGTAAAATACTATTACTTTATGTATAAAACTATAACAGTAGGACCAGAAAGTGAGGTAATACACTCATTGTAAGGGACTGTTGTTGAAAAGAAAGAATCAGCGACTGTAATTTCAAACAGATGTAGCTGCAACGGAATGTTGGATATAAACATGATGCAGTAGGTAAAATTAATTAAGTATATTCTCAAATAAATTAAGACTAAGTTAAATAACTGCATGGAACAGGGACTGATTACAGAAAGTATCCAAACCATGACATTTTGACATTTAGATACTTATGAAGACTAAAAGAGGGACCAAAAACTAAAACGACCAAGGCAGTATAACACAGAAAATAAGAAAGTACATAATGTTTATTAATTAAAGACAATGGCTCGCCGAAAAGATAAAAACCAAGCAATATACAAATTAAAGTAAACCTGGACTAAATCATTAGATAAAATAACAAACTTACAATTTCTGTTTCTAAAAACTAATGATAAGTATTAAAAAGTGATTTATTTTTAAATTTGGCTCGTCGCTGACCTGAAGTAAATGTGTTCCAATCTAGGGTCCCAAAATATTGACACGTATGTCTGGTGGCATTTGTCATGAGAACAGTAAGGAGGTGTAATAACACATTAGATTTGCATCGAGTAGAATGAGGTGGCATTTCAAGATAAGTACTGAGATATGCTGGATTCATGTTATTGAGATATTTATACACCCCACACGCTTATGACATTCCCAGAGAGATGGTAATGGTGACCAAGAGAGTGCCTGATGAAGATCACCGATATGAGTTCTATGAGGAGCATTAAGAATCAGTCTGGCAAGACAATTTTGTAATTCGATTAGCTTGTCAGAATGGCAATGTGCACAATTGGAGCAAACCATATCACTGTAGTAAAATTGCGGACGAACCACAGCGGAACTAAGCGTTTTAAAAATAGAGTTTGGAAGACTGGGATTTGCTGATCGTCGAAGGAACCCCCACTGTGAGATTTTCTTGGCAGTGTAATGTTTTTGATCAGCCCATGTCAGTTACTCATCTAAAATAATTCCGAGGTATTTATACTGATTGACTTGCTCAATAGGAGTGCTAGCAACAGAATCCCGGACCTTGGTACATGTAGATAGCCACTGGTGAGGTCCAATGATCATACACTTTGGGATGCTTACTTTTAGGGTAAGTTTGTGTTTAGTGAGCCATTGGGACACTATAGTTGATTACTATTGCCATAATTCAGTATCATGCGGCGAGATGCCTTCTGTCATAATCATCGTTTCATCTGCGAACATGCTAACTTTAAAACCTGGGCAAGTACCATACGAAGGAAGACTATTTGATATAAATAATAAAAAGAAGAGGTACAAAGATAATGGGGGACCCCAATAGTCACATCAGCCAGGGAGGAGACGTTGCCGTCGATTTGTGTTGCCTGTTTCCTTTGTGAACGGTAGGAATCAAACATTCAGATTCATAGCCTGTGACGCCGCACCTGTGATGTTTAGAGAGACGAATTTTGGTCCATGGTGCCAAAGGCCTTCTTGAGATCTAAAATTAAGGCACCTGTTACCCTACCAGAGTACATGCTATTTAGTATTTGATCAATGACGTCAATAACTGCTGCTTAGGGTGGATTGACGGGTCTAAAGCTGGGATATTCTGTGGCTAAGAAATCTTTATTATTGAGAACACGAAGAGGTCAATACTACCCACTCATTTTAATGACTGCAGGTAACACAGAAATAGGCCTGATAGTTACAATACTCCTTCCCATCGCCACTTTTAAATATAGGCGTAAACTTATCTAATCAATAAATCTCTTTTGGGATTATTGATCCACAAATATCAAAAGTAGCAAAGTTTAGGTCTTGCTGATTAGCAGTGACATAACTTGATGATTAGCAGTGATGTAACTATCAAAGTATTAAGCCAAATCTGCGCTAATGTTGGTGAAGAATTATTGAAATTATTAGCTAGTTTATGTTTGCCAGTGTTGGCACTACTGAGGAGAGTTTTCCCAATGGAAACGGCCTCTTTAGCTAAGGACCATACCGGGTACTTTCCTGGCATTGGCACTACTGTTAACAAGAGTATTTTCTTTTTCCAAGGCTGAACATTTAAAGCATTTTCATAATACCTCCTTTTCAGGCGTTTAACCAAATTATTGGCTTGATTACGTAATTGCTTGGCATGCTGCCAATCTTCAGGGTTACTTTTGTGCTCTTGAACGGAGAGAATCGTGTTTCCACCCTAGATCCAGCATATCCTCAGTTATCCAAGGTGCCATACTCTTCTGCCTTATCTGCCTACAGGGAGCATGCAGATTGCAAACATTATTATAAATTTGTTCCCAGGTGCTATACGCATCACCTATATCTTAGTGTCAATTAGTGTCATCCAAATGCCAAGGCATACGGAACATAATCTTCTAGAAAACTCACCTCATTAAAATCTCTAACATTCAAGACCCTGGGAGAAACTTTGAAATTGGTTTTGATTTGCCAATTACAGAGAACCATACAATGATCACTTAAACCAAGAGGAATAACATCAACACAACGTTAACATTATCATGATGAAAGGTCATAAAAAGATCAATACAGGTAACGGAGGTAAAAGTGATTCTTGTAGGACTGTTTACCAGGTAAGACAACTGCAGCCCACAGTGGAAGTCATTTACTTAATTTAACGCTGTTCGGGATCGTTGAAAACTTGATTTTTTTTAACATGACGGATGTTTAGGGCAATTTTCCCACTAGTATCTCCCACAAGCAAAAAGAGATCAAATCGAAAAGACCAGAGTTGAAATCACTTCCACGAAGAAGCATATATGACACAAAAATCATTGCTCAAAATATGGCATTTAAAGCTGAGGTATGTATAACCTTTTTCTTAATTTAAACTTATGTGGATACACACAAGTGTTTGCCTTCTGAAAGAAAGAAGCCCTAAAGTTAATTATGCTATTACGAAAACACATTTAGCATCTGCATAAGATGTGATCGCAATTGCCTGCACTCTCTAAGATGTCCAAGTGACAACTTACAAATTTTTTATTTCGTTTTAACCACAAAATTCTATTTCTCATACGTTAGATCTGATACATTTCTAATAATGCCTAAAAGCCCACTACCAACTGGTCGAACGGATTCCCTTGCTCTGCTCTGCCATGTTAAGTACACACCATAGCACTTTATTAAAACCTCACGGAGAGTGACGACTCTCTGTGTTAGAGATTCGTTTTGCTAGTTTCTTAATTAAAAACAAATACGGCCAAATACAATCACCTCCAATCAAATCCTACCTTTGTTCATGCTGGACAGCCTGGTTTAGTCACCTTTAACATCGAGGATTCCCCTTAACCAAGAATTAAAAAAATCGAGCCGACCTCTGGCTCAGTCCAGTAGGAATGTGTATAAACGTATCCACGCGCCCCCATGGGATTATATACACAAATGTGCCTGGGCAAGCAAGGGCATGTCTTTTATCCATATGGAGCAAGGTAAGAGACGGAGAGAACTCCCCCTGCTTTGTGTTGGTCATTGTCTCGCAGGAATCTGGGAAATTCCTTTCAGACATGTGGGCGGGATGTGTTAAGTAAAACAATAGTCTTGAATGTGTATAGGGATTGGATATGTTGGGGGGGTACCCCTCGGTCTCATTTCTTGCTGGGTATACTTTTATCAATGTCGGCGACCTAGTCGGGTATCTTCGATGTTTGCCCGGCATTTCTCATCGCGGCGGTTAGGGGAAGGTTTGAGTGTAGCTTGGCAGTTGAGGGACGACTAGACTGTAACTTGGGCGTTGCTCCCTCCTTAAATCCTGCACGACTGGGAAAAAGGTACTCTGACCTCATTTTTGTGGTTTTTAATAGTTGTAGGGGCTAGAGGGCACCTCCTGAGCAATTTCAATGTAATTAGAAAGGATCGTGGGCTCTCCAAACACGTAACACTACCTACTATCGCATGTACATAGTTTGAGGCACCCTTGTTGATAATATTGAGGGTTAACTTGAAGCGATGCTTCGTGAAGACTTATTGCGGTGCAAGACGTAACATGCAGGCTGTACATGTATTATTACCATGAAAAGGAAATAAAACGGACAGAGGTGAGCAAAAGAACTTTGCACGAAAACATTTAAACAATGGATAAAGGGTAGTCATAAAAGTAAGTCATATGTTAATAATATATAATAAAGTAATAAATCTCTGGTGAATAGTAACGGCGTACCAAGACAGAGATGCAATCTGGGTCTTGAGAGAAGGGTAGGTGGTTGGGCTCTAGCGATGATGAAGTAATCTATGATTTATCGAAATAAGTTCATGCAACAGAAATGCAAGATCCCAGAGCGATGTACAAGCAGGAGCACTCGGCGCAAGTGAAGACCCTGAACCGTTTCCCATTACTTAGAAAGCTCTTCATGTGGCGAAACACATCGGAGGCTTTATTGAATGAGATTAGAACACATGTCTGATAAGTACTTACTGCCATGCTCAAAGAAGAACTCGTTTACTGTTATTGGAGCTTAAGCGTTAGGCCTACTTATGCTGACACAAAGGCTTCATTTATTGCAAAATTTAAAATGAGTTTTCACAGTTAACTTCGCCCCATAAAATTGCTTAAATGATGTTCCTTTTCAGCAATTTTAAATTATACAAATACCAGATTAACAGGGAAACCTATACTTTGTCACCACATACTGGTATTGACACCCCTTGTTGATCAAACTTTGCTTCTGTCAAAAGTGGCAATGTCTGTTCACACTCCTGCACTGAGAAGTATCAAGCCAGCTGTGGATTTTGGGGCTGGCAAGGTTGCACCAGCTATAGGTAAGCATGTAATTAAAAACATTTTTGCATCTGTTACGAAAGGATAGGCAAAAAAGACTTATTCGGTTGTATGTTTAAAGACACGTCCCAAAGCATCGCAGACAAAAAGGGACATCAAGCAATTTGGCGTTCCTGAGGGATCAGAGAATTGATTAATTAAAATGGAACTTTTCTATCTAATTTTGCATGATTTGTGTTTGAAGCGTGGATCCGGTGGGATGGAGGGTTAACACCCCCTGTTCTAAGACAAAAAGGTTTAAAAACTGGGGAAAGAAATTTTAAAAATGACTAAGGTAAATTAGAAAACAAGATGGCCTCCCACAGATTCTTCTGACGTGTACGAGATGAGTGTTACAAATACCACTGTAAACAACGTACGGTAATGTTTCATCGTTTCCGCTTGACTGCAAAAATATCAGACATTGACAAAACTTTTGTCTGAACCTCGCTGGGATAAACATTTGGACCCGCCCGTGCGTTTCATATACATGACCACAGACTTGAAATTAATTCCACTGAATCTGGATGTGTCAAAATTATAAGTCTTCAGACAGAAATGAACGAAGAAAAAAGAACCAAAGAAGTGGGAGCAGTAGCAAATTCTATTGGAAATACAGCACTCCTTGAAATGAATTGAAGTGCCTTTTCTCATGAATTTAATTGAGAACACCTTACTGAGGATATCGGTTAGAAAGAAATTAAGTACTTTATCAGCTGATATAATATTCATAGTACATGCAACTATAACATGCGTGATCAAGGAAGCATTAACGCTTACCGACTGTAGATATTCCCTTTACACTTTGCACTGAGGTACCATTCTAATTACAAACAATGCCATCTGAAACTTTCCTTTTGCTCAGGTATAAAACCTGCTACAGTTGTTGCAGTGGATGGAGTGGGGATACTTCTGATGGCTGCCCAACGCGTAAGATTATTTCAACCCAAAATATCTATGTTTGGCCCAAAAGTAACGCAAGTTGATAACATAGTGTGGCGAAACAGGGTAGCTGCGCAGAATGTGTTAAGTCTGGGTAATTAATAATTCAGGCCGTCTAATCATGCATTAAACATGCACGGGGCAACCTATCAGAGGCGCGCATTTCCTCAGGTTTGGGCGCTGGTTCCGTGGTTGCCGGGACTTCTCAAGATGGCAGCGTGCTGACCAGAGCCCTGTGGAGTTGTGTTGTGTTCTGAGTTTCGAGTGTAAATCTGACGTACGACCGCTGGTTGTTGGGGATCCACCTCAAGTGTACCTGGTGCGATCGGTTAGTGTGGTGCTTGTTCTCAGTTGCCGGAGCTGCCGATTATATTAGATCTCTTTGAAGATTGGGGGATTGTTAGACAGTCTCGTTGTTTAAGCAGTGGTAGATTATAGGGTTAGGGAACCCGTGTGAGCCAGTTAATTGGGGAATTAGCGGAGCTTAGACTAGAAGGATTGTGTGTCGTTGGCTATGCTTGGCTTTGGCTATGCTTGTTGGCATAGCGACAGTTGGTTGCAGTCCTGGTCTGGGAGCTTGCTTTCCTCGTTGAGGTTTACTGGGTGCAGGTTTCCGTTACAGTCTGGTGAGGACTATTATAATCGCCTTCTCAATCAACTTACCTGTTTTATTTCGTAATAACTTGATGTGGCTGAGAGTTATTTAAGTCACCTTGAACCTTATAGTTTGGGAACTGTGTTGCTTCGTAAGGCAGTAGAGATGATTGTTATATAAGCCTACCCTGTTGTGTTGTGTAATTGCAAGGATTGTATTTGCTCGTGTGGTCAAGACTTATCGGTTATAAGCCATCGGTAGATTATTTATTTAGACTTGAGGGTTACCCTGATCACCGTGAGGGTTACCCCGATCGCTGTGAGGGTTACCCTGGTCACTGTGAGGGTTGCCTGGTTATTGTGAGGGTTACCCTGGTCGCTCTGAGGTTTACCCTGATCGCTGTGAGGGTTATTCTGGTGTAGGTAAAGGATAACGGTAGGTTAATAATAAAGGGCCCATAAAAAGGTCGAGTATCAAGCATGTAAAAATTGTTTTTTGATTAATAAATGGGCGAAAAAAAAACGTGTCAATGCTTGTCTTGGTTGAATTCGGAAAACTTCAGTCCAACTTCCGGGTGTTTTAGAGGTTATACCGACCAAATGTGTCGCCGCACCGTGCGGCAAACTTGACCTGCATGCAGAAAATGTAAAATTAAGTGTTATTTTCCAATGAATCACGTTTCTTTGTAAGCAGCAATTACGATAGAGTTCGAGTATGCCGTTGTTACAGTGATGAACGATTCTCTGACTCTAATGTCGACAAATGGTGAGGTTCCTGCACCCTGGTCTGAACTGGTACCACAGCAAATGACCGTAATGACCTGACCTCAATGGCAATGCCATTGCCAAGTTACTGGGATGAAGTTGTGGAGAGAGTTGTAAAGCCATTTGTCGTTGAGCAGAATTCCTAGAACTGTTGTGAATATTGGTAATCACAATATAACCGCAGTCTCTGAAGTCAAGAGTCTGGATGTGATTTTTGACAACAAAGTGAATATGCAATCCCACATCAAGAATGTCTCTCGCTCTGCAATGTATCACCTGTACAATATAAGCAAAATCAAACGTTACTTGGGTCAATCAGCCACGGAGCAGATTATTCATGCACTTTTTACGTCTCGTATGGACTATAGAGGGATCCCAATACGACGCTTTCAGCGTCGATCTGCGCACTTCTGCGTTTGAAAACGAGGCTGTATGAGTCAGCTTCAATTCTTAATACGATCAGACGATTAAAAAGTAAGGAGTTAAAACACAAAATACATAAAGGTATGTTAAATTCAGACTTTTCAGGCTGAAATGTTTTGTGGAAGAGTCTTTCAGGATGAATTGACACGTAAAATCAAAAGAAAAAATAACGACAATTGACCGCGAACTACCGTACCTGCGATGGCCGTGTATCTTGTGCAATGGGCGTGGTTTAAACTGAAGTGGCGTCACACTTACGAATCGGATACTCCACGTACTGTGTAGACTCCGCGGGCGCGCGCGCGCGATGAAGTTCAACACAGAGAGCCTCGGTTTCGATGCAGATATGCACAGACAGCACTAATGTGAAATCCCCCTATTGTAACTCTGTTTTAATTGGTCTATCGGTGTCAGCCCTTGCTCCTTTGCAGAGAGTCCAGAATGCTGCAGCAAGGCTACTCACTAATGGCAAGAAATTTGACCACATTACTTCTGCGCTGATGCAATTACATTGGTTGCCAGTGAAATATAGGGTAATTTTTAAAGAGTGTCTCCTGATCTCTAAATGTCTCCACGACAGTGCTCCAAGTTATTTAAGTGATTTGCTTGCTGTTAGGATTCCTAGTCGATTCACTCGTTCCACCACGGTTACACCATGGATCAATCTCTTTCTTGAGTATGTGTGGTCCAGAACCACACATACTCAAGAAAGAGATTGATCAATGGTGTAACGGCAGTCGTTATACTCATATAGTTCTTTCACCATGAAAACCTTCATGTCACATTTTCAGTTTCTTAGGATTGATTTTAATTATGGTACATGTAGGCTTTATTCATTTATTTATATTTTGATTTACAGCGCCTGGGAGCAGCTTGATAGATTGGGCGCTTTATAAATATCAATTAGTATTATTATTTCTGAACAGGACACTAAAACATAATCCTGTTTGATATGACAATGGGCAACCTTGTTGCCGCCAGAGTGATTACCCAGTATCTCGAGGACACCAGTGACGTAGTTAGGATTTTACTTGGGTGGGGGGGACAAAGGGGGCACCAGCATCTTATGGGGGCACCAGCTTTCAGTGGTTAGGGTTTTTTGGGGAAAGTTTATATTAGCCTTTTTCAACAACATCCATATGTCTGTTTCTTTTTGGGGGGAGGGGGCACCTCTGGGGCACTGGCATTGAACTCTACCATGACCGGCCTTTCGTTCAGACTTAAGTCCAATTGAGCATGTGTCCGATGATCTCAATCGCCATAACCGGTCACGTCCATCGTCTGGATTAGGAACAGCTCAAGAACTTGCTGCTGCTTGAATTGATTAGGGCAACCGGCAGAAGACTGATCCTGTCCATGCTCCGACGTACCCAAGCGTTTATAACAGTAATGGGAGGGTATACACCATATCAATCAGGTTCAACTCCATTTCAACAATAATTTGTGCCTTTTTAATTTAGTATGCTTATACGTTAAGAAAATGTTGCGTTACTTTTCTGCCAAGCATATTTTCATGGCGGGAATTGCAAAAAACAAACAAACAAAAAAACAAAAAACAAAAACAAAAGATGACATAAGAAAACCACTTCGAGTGTCGCTGTATGTGATTATTCTAGTTTTGGTCAACATTGTTAATTCAAACTTTCAAGAAGGTGTGCTTGTTGTTTTGAATGCTAAATATAAATTCGCTTTCTTTTCTTTCCAACATCTAAAGCCCTATGTTTTGGTAGTAGCCGGTGTCCTAACGGAGGAACATGCGGAACTCCTGATCACTGCAGCTGTACCCGAGGGTACTACTCTCCGAGATGCGAGCGTAAGTAAATACGTTAGAACAAATTCTTTTATATATTAATCAAGCATCAACCACGGACAATAAGCAATTTATGACAGTGACAGTTATGACAATTTATGACAGTGACAGTTATGACAGTTTATGACAGTGTGCCTCACAAGAGACGGTTATAAGGTTACTTTAAACCAATAACGTCTCGTGCATGAGATGTGACCGGCACTGCACACTTCAAGGAAAATGGAATTTTATAACAAAATGATCAGTCAATAACAAAGGTCTGGTAATTAATCAGGATCTAACCCAGAATAATCTTGACAAAAGTCTTTTCGAGAATACAAAGTCTAAGTCAAAGAGTAATATTGACTATACAAACCATATAATGTGTCACGCAGCGTCTTCACGTATAGTCTAAACGTTATGAAACACAATAAGTTGCATCCTGTAACTTGTTTGAATGAATGAATTAGTAATTAGTCCAAACGTCAAGAGTACAGATTTACGGGTCCTACATCATAGTGCCCGATAACATTTATCGTCTGTCACACAATGCCAATCCTAGTTTTTTTAAGTGCCAAACGTATGCTAGAACATTATGGCCAGGGCTCATTGTTACAGATTAAAGTGCAGCTGCAATGGATTTTCGTAGACACATTGTTTCTGGGACTGTGTACTCTCTTTGTAATGTATGAAAACTATTCACATTCACTATTTACATTCCTATTCGTTTAAATGCATCGAACAATACACTCACAAAATGTACTTTTTAAATTATCCGTATTTACTTGCTAAACTGAGGACAATGTCGTTGTGATGTCATCCAGGGAGGACATGGTTCGGTACGTAGGTTTCTCTGTACAAATTGTGTACCCAAATCCTACTCACTGAAACCATTTTTAGAAAGAATGATTTTAGATTGATTCAGATTGAATAGTCCCTTGTTTTGAGTACGCATCAATGAATCCTTATCCAAAAATGGAAATTTAGTCCAGTAAAGCACGATTTTTGTGTACAAACCAATGTATCATTTAGGCTTGCTTCCTTTGATGACAGTTGAGTTTCCTCAGGAATATGGAACTATTCGTCAACAAAACAAAGACAACAACGCCAAATCACACAAACAAATAAACACACCAACAAACAAGCAAACAGAGCAGGCAGTAAATACTCTTTGAAATGGTGAAATACAAATTGAAAACAATATTATCTGAGACACCTGGGTGTATTTTGAAGGTTTTTTTAATTGAAACAACCGTTAGAGCATCAAATGGAGATTTTCCATAATATAGTACTTTCCGGGTTCCTTAGACTGCAGGTGCCTAAAAGGACTTGTGTTTCCTAATCAATGTAAGATGGACTTTTTCTAACTTTTCTAGAGTTTTATTTATGCATTCTTAGCCTGTACCACCATTGGACACTGTAGTGAGATATCCTGCAGCACTTCGTCAGACCATGAATGTTTGCAATGTGAGGGTGATTACGGCTCACTTGGATCGGCTTACAGGTTGTCATGGAGCAAAAGATATTGCTATCGTAAGTTATAAACAAGAAGAATTTTAGTTAATTGAACAACCGACAAGTCAACATTTTCCTCAAGCTAATAATTGCTATATAGCCTCAAACTGTATTTATACGAAACTATTTAATGGAAGTATAAGAGCATTATAAGAGCATTATGTCATTATGGGTAAAAAGTGATGTTTAACTTGAGAACAACCCAAGTGTGTTTTAGGTCTTACAGGGTCTGCTGTTTTACGTCACACTTATGTTTTTTTCCTACAAATGGTCTCTAAAATTAGTCACGCAATTGTTAGGCAGCATTCAAAAATCAGATAATATACAATACAAGTACATGTACTACCAACTAAATAAATAAAAAATGTAACTAAATAACTAAGAATTAAACCCCCTTTAAATTTAATGCGTCAGACACATATTTTGAGCAAAACTGAGATCTTTTTTTGCTAGCTGGGGCCGCTCACACAATTATGACTAAAGGTGGTTTGGGATTATATTTCCCAGAACAATGTTCGTGGAGGACTGACAGCAATGCTTGCTATCCAGGAACCTGCTCTTCTTACGGGACCAGCTGCCGCTGCAGCACTGGCTTCTCGGGAACAGACTGTAGAACAAGTGAGTGATAAGGTTTACAAATTTACAGAGACCAAGCGTAACGTAAATATATATACCTTGACCAGAATCATGAACTGTGCATTTGTACCCGAGAACTCCGTATGATGCGCGATATGCGGCAAACGGGGACCCCCTTAACTGTGTCTTCTTTAGTGTTGATGGAATTCTTTTCAGATTTCCGAGCGAGGTACGTTAGGCACAATAGCCTTAGTGTAAACAGGGTCCTCCCTTACCGCACATTGCGTTGGGTATCCTAGAACAGTTCTAAACCTTTCATGCAATGCAACCCCTTTCTCGATCCCCTTAACCCATTCATGCTTGGCTTATTTCATTAAGAATTTGTTGGAAACGGGCGATAAGTATCCCTCACAACAAATATCTCCCACCAAGGGCTGAAAGATCTGTATGTTGTTATTTAATTAGTTACACCAAGAATGACCGAAAGTGCTCATTGATTTCCAAACAAAACATGAAGACAGGCACTTAAAAAGTGGAGATGGACGGAACACCCCTAGCTATGACGTTTCAAATAGACCTAAATTATACATAAGAAGACTGAACTCAATACTATAAACTGTCAGATTCTGAGGCTAGGATACACCAATCCCAGCCAGTACACCGCAGTACCTACGCTCGACGTAACTGTGTGTTTACAAAGTCAAATATTCTATGATGTAGAACTAAAATACAGCATTTTCTTGTAGTGAATGGCAGTCATGCACCAATCCTGTCGGAGCACCGTGCCACCCTCATGTCTGGGTCTACGATCTTGGAATCCCCTACAGGCCAGGGCAGTATGGCCACCGTTTATACCAATGTGAACAATTTGGCAAGCCTTAGAGTCCACTGGATAAGCTCCTACCAGCCCACAGGGCTCCCAAGCCTCCCCAGCAGTCGACGTCCATACATCCATAGTGTTAAGCTGGGTGTCGTTAATGCAGGAGTTAGTGCCACTGTGAATCGTGAGTTACGCTTGATGATTACACACAAGCAAAAGAGAGTAGCATCTGTACATAAATTGTTATTGTATTGTATCTGATCGTCACTCTTTGATTAAATTCAAATATATTTACAAGCTTGCTAATATACATACAAACCAGTGGAGCATTCAGTTAGCTTGGACCAGAACTCCTTCCCACCGAGAAAGTTCATGATGCTAAATCCCCCGATAGCGCAGTAGGGGATTGAGGTGCACGGCTATGTTGCAATTAGTAATTTAAGATGGTAGATGTATATTTTGTATCTTCGTTTTTCAGAAGACAACAAATAGAGCCTGAAAGTTATAAAAGGTCACTCAGCGAGCTTCCGGAACCCTTGCGCGGTCTGCCAATTGGGATGTTACATTGGGCTGTCCTATCACGTTCGATAAGTTTTGGAAGAATGAAACCACCCCATGAAACAGTCATGTTGGAGAATTTTACCATTGTCTTCCTCAAGTAATATTTAGGAAAAGTCACCTAGAGAGTGGTAAAAAACGATTTTTTCACGTCCTGCAATATCGTACTTGGGTCTCCGTGTTCATGCACATTTGTTACCTCCCCGTGCTTTCATGCAAATGAGATTGTACAACGTTGCAAAGATTTACCAACGCGCAGTCGATGGGTTCCAGATCCCGTTGAGTTGACATCGCGCAGTTGTTGTCAGCAAAGGTAAGATAAAATATTAGAATCTTTCGTAAAAGTTGAATATTGCTTTAACTTTATTATCTTATAGATTGTAAAGGTGTGTAAAACATTTTGATTTGTTTTTATTTCGGATTTTCATGACAGACTACCATAAAACTTCAAACTGTAAACGTGCATCTGCGAACGAAACTGCCGCATTGGACTGTTCTTCATGTAGTTTTTAGATTTTCGGAAGTGATGGGTCAATTTTTGGCAGGATATTCCTCTTTTAGGTCAGGTGATTTCTATCTTCTTTAAATTGATATACCAGCAAATATTTTCCAAAGCCTCCTTTCCGAGATGGATTTTAAGAAGTAACTGAACGAAAAATACTACGAATTCTAAACCTTTGCACGTTATTTTTCAACTTTCAGGCTCTACTAAAAACCGGGGGTGGTGGCCTCCGCCCCCTTGGATGTTCCACTGACATTTAGTTCATCTGCACTAAACCTTTTCAGCAGCACAATTTTGCCTTTCAATATTTGTCTCACACTAATGCTGTAATTTGTTACTGTTTTCTACGTGCACCATACACAGGGGGCGGGAGAGTAATATACTCACCAGGTTCCCGTACGTGCACAACAGCGGTAAATAGAGTATCTTTTAATCGAAACCGTCCTGCAACAAATCTGGTATCATGTGAATACACGTTCAGTTTGAGCTACAGTGCCTGGATACCAGCAACAGGAGATGTGTAAGTCAGTCTATTAAGGTAGCCATGGGCTATACGCACTTGTGGGATTGCTCTTTTTTGTTAAGCATAAGAGCCGAGTTACTGATCTTTGGAAAATTTGTAACTGTTGTCTTATATTTTGATTGCATTTCAGACTACGGTCTGACGTGTATTCAACCAGTGGTGGCTACATGAAATTATACAACAGAGACTCAAACAACCGAATCGAGACACGATACTACCGTGGCACAACAAGCTCCGCTTCCTCAACTTTCACCTTTGACTTTGATGACCCTTACCACTGTGTAGATGTTGGCAGAGGATGTAGAGACACAATTTTAAACGCGGGGAATGATGTTACATCTGAGGTTAGGGTATTACCGCGAAGTACTTGATTAACAATTCAATCAAGACGTCTTCAGTTCTGCTACAAAGTTGTACAATTGTGACATGGGATTATGAGATAATGCAGGATCAATATTAAAAGTCGTTTAGCCTCTCCCACCACGAACTTAACACATTAAATGGATTTAATATATATGCTTAGCATTTTACCTCGCGGATGAGAATTTTCTTAATAATAAAACCATAATACAGCCACTTTCGTGATTTACCTCTACAGGTTTTTATATCACCCAGGAAACTCAACTTTCTGTCTGAGATAACACAGAATTTGATTTGATTTGATATTTTGTATTATTTATTGATTTTATAATAAAATGTAACACTGAACACATTGCGTATACATGAAGTAAAATGATTCACAGGCTAGAAAAACTATAGCAGTCCTACATGCGAATATAAAAATGCGTAAAGTCATGCACATAGTTACTTTCCATAGTAGCAAATATTGTGTCAGTTGCAATTGTTACTGAATGTTTTACGGTGACCCTTGTAATCACCTTTTGGCTTTGCAAGGATTTTGCGAGTGGGGCAAAGCAGCCATCAAAGCACATTGATAAACCATAAATTCCTTGGTGTCTTCAAGTCAATTACCGATTTCCATCCTCTGTCTCCCTGTTTTTTTCGCTTTTCCTGTTTTCTTTTTTTCACCGTTATATATTTAATTCGTTTCAAACTTTTAACGAAAACACCCATGGATTTCAGTTACCCCACAAATGACCTCGACCAATTCTAAAACTCTGTTTTATATCTCCAATTTTACTCTCTTTCTCAGGCATTGATAAGAATCACTTGGCAAGGTTGGTCAGACGATCACGCTGGTATCAAAGAATATGAGCTGGAAGTGCGGCAGCTGTCAGGTAGTCATGGCAACGAGATGACAGAAATCCTTCACAGTCCTGCTGTTTGTAATGGAACCGCCAGCTCTGGACATTCTGTTACCTTGCCTCACGTGGGTGAGTTTGAATAATGAAGATAAACTAGACCCTCTTTGTCAGTTGACACATCAGAAATATTCGCTGAAAATAGCTTCCCGGTAATGTCGTTGGCTCGAACGAGGTATTCGATTTATTTCGACTGTGTACCACCTGATTTTACTTCGTTTGCAATATTATTTTACGATTCTAGCTTCAGTGTGATTCTTTGTTGAAATAAATAATACTACCAGACAGGGCGGTAAATTGAAAAAGCGATATTTTTCATTCCGTTCTGCTCCATGCATTTGTCAATGGTTAAAAAATGCATACCAACATATCTATGGAGATGTAAGCCTACTGCAGGGAAGAAAATAAACGATGTGGACAGATGTTCCTGTTTGTTGTAATAAATTGGAAAATATTCACAATGTGCTAATTCTTTACAATGAAACTAAAGAATTTGCACGTTTCTTTTGAAATACGGTTCAAACCCCACAAGGCAGAATTATTTCTATTACAGAGTAAACACACATATTACAGATCACTCCTTAAAAACCCATGAACATATCAATAATATTAAATTGACAAACAACTTCAATGGAGGGGAAAGAGGGATTTGTTGGATTAAGTAACCAACTCTTCTGCTACATTGTTCAGGTGTTTATTCTGTTGTCCTTGCCGTTGTTGACAACGTCAGTAACATCAAACGCAGCAGACGCTTTGTGTTATTTGACAACGATCCCAACGACGTCACCATACTAAGTGATTCGCCTCTGCACGTAGTCTCAGCGACTTCAGAGACCAACTTCACATGGCTGACCAATCTTGAATCCGGCGGAGGGACAACCACTGTGCGGCTTGACTGGACAGGCCATTTCATTAATGCGAATCACCACAACCAAGGATTCTTGAAGCCCATTGGGTCCTATGCTGCCGGTACAATCCATCCTAGTGAGTTTCCTCATTTTAGTATAATGAAGGACTTGTTGTTTCTAATGTCCTGAAAGTTTTACGAATATCTTGCGGTTTCCAGCGCCAATGTCGAAATAATTTCTTTCATTTTTGTTTCTCAAATTTAGGCGATTTCCAGTTTGTTCACACTAGGGCTTCTTTCTCTGTATTTTGTAACCTGTTCTGACAGTTGACCGCAGCCGTTTTTTTTTTTGCAATTCCATCACTTTTCATTGAAGGCCAGCTTATCCAGAAAAACCTGAACTGAATTTTCAGTTGCTGCATTGCTCCTCAGTGCTTTGAAAATATTTGAGTTACGTCATGATTACGCCATCACGTCTGTTTATTTTTCTTATTTCGATGTATTCCAGACCTTTGCAATTTAAAGTGGATGAGTAAGTTTTTTGAAAATAGAAATTTGTATTCATCACTCACCATGAGGATGTCCACAAAAAGCCATAATTTGTCACGTGATATAAACACGTTCCAGGTGTAAAATTTCGCGGGGCGTATATCTACAGAGCTATAACAACATTATGTAGATATGTCATATGTTTAAGTATGAAAAAGTAAGAACTTGAACATGAATTATTTTCAAGATGTATTTCTTTTGCGTTGGGGAACGGGTTTTGCCCTTACCTGACGTATATTAATAAGCACTGTATGATCAGTGCTTGTCCGAGAGCTTGCGAAAAAAACCTCACAAGCTTACTCATAAGCAGGAGGTCGTGGGTTCGAGTCCCGCCCGAGTAAGCTTGTGAGGTTTGAACATGAACTCCTGGTGGGCCAATATCGAAGGATTTAATCAACTGATCGACTTGATATTTACTGTTCCTGTTCAGACAAGGATAAGACAAGACAAAAAAACATAAGTAATGGCACATTCATGATGTCGGGTTCATCATTCGTCACGTTCAACCACCGTACAGGTGCACTCTACACAGGGCAGGGAACCATGCTTCTGAACAGATAAAGGCAGGGACGAGTAAAACTTGTCACGTTGTCATGAATGATGACTTCATTATTTAGGCCTAAGTACTCTAATATTACGAACTTGACAGGCTCCTTTTCAAAGATCAGAGCATGTGCATAGGGGAATGTTTTTAGATACACACAAGTATTCCAACTTCGCCTGCAAAAGGCAGCCATTTACTGTTCATAGAAATTGAAGTAATTTATTCAGTGCCCTTTCACATTTTACGCTTGAATCTACATGAACACAGATGATCAAGTTCCGTTAGTGTCAGGGATTCAGATTCAAGGTGTCTTTAATGGCGTACATGGCGCTGATTCTGACTTTTTTGTATTATAGATTACGACCAGTACTTTGGGCTGCGAGGCCGTGCAGGTATCCTGAACAAGCTAGGCGTTACACAGTTCCGTGCCTTTTATGATATCGACCACAGCGGTGGTAAGACAACTATCGGTGTGAGTGACAGCAACTCGGACAACTGGAGGAACGAAGCCACAAACACGCAGGCGACATATGACCTGAGCCTAGTGGACGGCGATTCTATACGGTTCTGGGTGGAGGCCAGGGACCTAGCCGGTCACTTTGTAAGGGACAACGTGTTGGTTCACGCTGACTCATCCCCACCTGTTATTGAAGAATTCTGGCTGGTACGAGACGGGGAAGTAAACCTAGCCGCTCATCATTCAGTCAATCTGCATGAAATGAGGTAGAATGGTCATTTCATTACATTGTATTGCCTCATTCAATGTGGCAACACAGTGAATCGTTTCTGCTTTGGTAGGACAAGATTGAATTCCGTCACCGGTATGAGATGCAATTCGGTCAATCTTAGCGCGGCTTTCATTTGCGGGTGATAGTAAAACAAAAAAAAAAGAAAAAGGTATGAGCCACGTTGCGATTGGTCAGACTGTGATACTTCTGACGACAATACGCAAAATACTTGTGATTTTTATTATTTCAATGAGAACAAACATCCTAAGCAGACCTCATACCTCATCAAGAAAGGTTGTATGAAATCTGGTTACGCAAATATTTGTAATTACAGAGTAAGTCGGCATAATTGGAATAACTGAAACTTTGCTACAGAGAGTTTGTACATTGCCATCTGTTAGGTTTGTAAAAGGCTTACAGGTTTGGAAGTATTTATCACCAATTTTCTTTCAAGAGTCGACCAAACTGCCGATTGTTTTGCTTCAGATTGCATGCACGTGGTATAACCACAAAGTACATGGATAAAGGTGAAGATACTTTTTGTAACTGCAAAATGTCTTGAACTTGTTTGCATGCATCATGATGGGTCATAAACTCAAACAGCTTGAAGTTTGTCGTATAGCATCTTTTTAAGTAAAGAGAGACGTGCAAAATGACGACTATATTATTCCTTGCATATTCGACCACCGTTGCCTCCATGCTTCGTCACTATCATCCACAATGGTAGAGTTGCATGGTCCTTTATTTCGCCATATAATTTTGGAAAATGTGCATTTGACATTGTTATAATGTGTTGAAACGCATAGTGTCTAAAGGCGTGTTGTAACAATCTGTGATTTAGTTTCATAGTTTGACACTTTTTAAAGATATTTAAGCTTTACTATTTTTATTTGAATTACTGTAAATTGAAACAGGTCTTTCATGGAACGTAGTTTTATAACTGATGAGGCCACCATGTATAGATAAGACAGCAACTAAATAAATCAAATTTGGTAAACATCTGCTGAATAGGCCCGCTCGCGAAATGATAATGGTCAGGAAGTAGTTCCATAAACAGTCCTCACTCAATAACTAGTAAGCCTGGACCTATACAGACACGTTCGCCTGAAGCCTGGTTGCCATATGGTCATTGGTAATGTAAACGGTCGGCAAGACGTCAAGACGTAGACGTTCGCGGAAGAGACCCTGCGCGATGTCATTCCACCGAAAAATTATACAAAATGGCGTCCGAAACTTCAAACATTTCGCGAAAAAATGCCTCTTGTAGGAGGCAATGTTGCCTCACTGCCACACTGATGCGCCAGTTTGATGTAATTTGTTAAGGGTCAGATTTTTTTGACGATTAGGCTGCATATGAGAAAATGGGCGAAATGAGTGGCAGCATCGGACGAACATTGTTGTAGGCCCGTCACGCCAGCATGTGTGTTTCTATAGGCCTGCTTGGCGACTCAGCGCAGACAGTCGGCAAAATTGAGCCCGATTCAACCCGTCTGGGGCTGGTTTGCATTATGTTCTTGATTTTGTTGCTCTCTGCGTTTCTTACATTGATATCACGGAAAGTAGGCTTACGCCTAAATACTACTATCGACGATAGACATTTATGGTATGCCAATTTTGTCGTACTCCAGTACTCAACGCACCACAGTTAAATACAATGCTAAACACCCTGTTACACTTGTATTGAAAACAATATAGCTAAGAAACGTAAGAAAATCATATGTGGCTTGACAGTTTATGAAAAATCATACAGAGGAGAAATCGTGAACTCACTTTCACTGGCATTTGTAAACTGGAAGATCCGATACTAGCTTCAGGTTCATTTTATTTGTATTCACCAGCCCAGACTCCAAAATGCTGATCAAGCTGCCATCCATATGCCGAGCACAACAGCCTATGACAGGAATTTACTCTTTGATGCACTTCCGTCAGAGTCCTCTTTTCTATTCATCGCTATAGCTGTGTTTGTATCAATACACCTTTGGTGTCCTTTTTGTAACTTGTAAAATGATCAGTTTACCTGTGCTGGAATAAAACATTTCATACATCTGTGAAAGCCGCTACCGAAGCAAGGGAATGATACGTCAGAGTATGCATAGTACCGTACAACACTGATTGCGTAAGATTCTTTTTTAGTTTGATGAAATGCGTGTGATGTCAAAGATGTGTATTTTCTCTCTACTCTGCCACAGAGTTGTGTTCAGGGCTTACGACATTCACAGCGGTCTAAGAACCATCGAGTGGCGTTTGTTTGAAAACCACACTGGTACTGAGATGGAATATGAACGTCAGACAGTGCCTGCCAGGAAACTTGACATGGTAATAATAATAATGAGTATTATCCACCATCAGTGGTGGTCAGGGAGCTGCATCATTCCTGCTCCTCAGGTTAACCCTGAAGCCATATATCCAAGCGCAGATAATTTGTCAAACACAGCAACCAACTCTACTCTCACAGGTGACTTACATGCCTACTTTCATAAGTTGTCGAAAATGGCAAGTGGGAGTAAAGTCATATGCTCAACATATCGGGTGACCTCAACAGGATGATTTTTAAACAGTTAAAGTAGAAAGTGTTACTACTTTGCTTTCCACGTGTTGTCTTGGTATTCTTCAGGACTCTGCAGACTGTAATCCCGTCGATTGTCTCTGTACCCCGATTGGTGACTGCTATGCCGCAGACTACAGTTTCAGTCCAACAAACGATCTTGGCACTCACGACCATAATTACTTCATCGCGTTGACCGTTACGAATCAAGCAAGACTTGTAGCTACCCAGACGTTGAAGGTATGTGTGCGCGTGTCATTTAGGTATTAAATACACTCGCAAAGTAGTTTCATAGCTATTATCTTCCAGGAGAAGTTTGAATGTAATGCAAATTTAAGTGTCTATAAAAAGAAACTGAATGACATAAAAATGACTTAAGACCAAAGAATGGGGCGCACTCCACACCAATGTTTAGCATCAAATTCCAAAACAAGAGGAGCAGTATGATATGATCCTTGTAATACTATGATCCTTATGATGACCTTGCCTTACTGCAATGATTGTTAGATAACGGTAGACACATCACCACCTAAAGCTGGTGTGGTGCATGATGGGATACCTGGGTCTAATGAGGTGGACTTCCAGGAAGGCAATGACCTCACAGCTCACTGGCAGGGGTTCTTTGACAAGGAGAGTGGAATCAAGTTCTACCAGTATCTGTTTAGGGATTCCTGCTGGACTAGCCCTAGCAGTGTAAGGGATGTGGTAAGTTGTACGTGGATCTCTCTTCTCAATTGTGTTTTCTTCGCAAAGATGTAAATTTGAATAATTTGCAGATTTTAATGAGTCTTGAATGAGCCATTTTTTCAGCCTTGGAGTGAAGAAAAACAGAATATTCTTTAAACTTATTTCGATACATTTGAAAATGGAATCTTTGAAAGAAATGGTAGAAGTTCAACCGTTCGTATTTTTACGGGCTGTTATATAAAAATGTCATTCAAGTTAAGATGCTTAAAAAGTAAAGCACGTTCGTATTATTTCATATTGTTATATCTTACCGAAGCACAATTAAGACTTTCTCCCATTAAGATGAAATGTCAGTGGTATAATATCAATCTTTTTTAGATGACAAGAACTACCTCTACACATGCTAGTTGGACTGCACCCTCTCCTGGCCGGTACTATGTCACCGTCATTGCTTACAATCGAGCTTTTGAGCCCTCAAAGGCTGTCTGTTCTGACGGTGTGGTGATTGATACAAGCCCTCCTCAGTTGTCACAGATCGCTATCAGCTACGCTCGGATGTGGCCCGGTCTGGCCAAGGATGGTAAGGGTCGAGTGTGGTTCATTGACGAGCACCGCAGGAAGATGGAGCTGATGGATGCATTGAGTGGATGCAGGTTCGTGCGTTCGTGAACCAGAATATGCTGAATGTTTTCTATTGGGAATTGATCAACAGAATAATGTTAATGTCTTTGAGCAAAGACCATTGAATCATTGCCAGCTGATTTAACCTCATTAGAATGGCATTGAGACACAAAATCGAGGTTTTTCGCCCGTTGGGAAATAGAATTTCGTCCCATTTAGGTTACATTACAAATTTCAAGACCATAAAACCATCAGTAAGATAATGGTCCGTTTTGGTTCATCACAATCAGTGTCCAATCATTTTGTCTACTTTGCATCAACAACTGATTTGCCATTCTGATTTTGCTTCTATTAGCTTCTCGAGTTTGCTCTTAAATTATCCAACCCATTGTTCTCTGCCACTCCATCTGCCCACTCTTGGCTACCCCAATGTTTGAATATCTCGTGTTGTTCTTGTACCCATACAGTTCCAAGGCTGCTGTGGTAGAAGATTTGTCTGTTTATCCTGAGATGGTCGGCACCAACGACTCATCAGCAATACTCCAAGGAGACTTGGAATGCCTCTGGATCTCGGCCATTCAACACAGACTATTCCTTCCAACCCATAAACATGTACATATTTTAATTAAAATAATTGGATACGATTGTTAACAGTTTCCCCAAAATAAGATCACACATATTCCGGGAGACGATACTTTCATGTTCTCCCCAAATATTGATCAGGGGAACGTGTGCAATATAATTTTTAAAACAAATGGGCAAACCTTGATACTCAATTATGGAGTGTCATTTATTGCAGGTTGTTCCGTCAAAATGCATGTAAGAATGGAAAGCAAAAACAATATAAAGAACAGATTTAAAGTCAAATTCCCATGCAGACCTTTAACTGAAGATGAACAAAGTTGCAATACGTTCGAAGAAAAAAACATACATCTGAACAGGGATGATTAGTGGAACTGATAATGAGGTGAAACTATTTTCAAGAATCACTTTTATACAAAAAAGAGCTGTTTTCATATGTCAGTCATTTTGATGATGTGTAATAATGGATAATATTGCTTTAATGGCTTTGTAATATCCATGACAGGTGACCATCTCATGGACTGGGGACGATGTAGAGAGCTCCATTTATGACTATGAAATTGGTCTGAGCACCGACCCTTTAAATCCGACCCCTGACCTTGTGACATTCACGTCTACATCAGGTCATGATCACTTTGTGATGTACCATCCCCATATCAGCCAAGGAGCTGTGTTCTACTTAGCTCTAAAGGCAACCAACAAGGCCCAGCTGTCTACGTTGAAGGTATAATAATGGACTGATCACAGAAGAAAATTTCATTCAATAATCATCCTCACAGACTATGCTCCATGGACTATTTCACAGCTCTGTCCTGAATTTTACCCCCCTTACTTGCCTGATCTTTTAAAACTTAAATGCATTTAATACACTTATTATAAAGACTTCTGTGACTCTCAATTCGATCCGACGTTGTCTTTATGATCATTTGAATATGGCCTCATTCGTGTCTGCCTACATGCAATGAGCGTGTTATGCATCACCGAGTAAAATAGGCTTTTGGCTTTGTTCTCTCGGAAAAACTCGCTTAAACCATATTTTCGATTTTTACAAAAATAGGTATCAAATGGACTGTAAGACTTTGCTAGAAAAACCCCTGATGGCTCGGTGTGGAAAAAAAAGAAAGTGACGTTATCGCCCCAATAAAATTGCTCGGGGAAAACAGATCACGCCCCAGTTTTTCTATGTTAAATAATGTATTCGAGGCCTTTATTATGTGTGTGATTTTTAATTTTCACTCTGGAAAATACAAAGACGAGTGCAAGCTGCTTGCTGGTGAGAGTGACCTGAAATATGATTCTGCTTGGAGTGCAACATTAGGCCCTCAAACGTTATCCCACTCTGTGTAAAATAAATGACACGTGGAAGCCAGGTTGGCTGTGAAAGAGAAAATATAAGATAGGCCTACACTGTAGGCCTACATGTGGGTTGTTTTGAAACTGACGTAAATGTCCATTTTGCATATTTTTCATGTTGCAGGTTATCGGTCCCATCACAGTAGATACCACCCCACCCATGTTTGTTGGACGTGTCTCATTTCATGTGGAAGGTGACTACTTGATTGCTGAATGGGGAGAGGATGGCTTCATTGATGATGAAGACACCGACCTGAGATACCAAGTTGCCGTCAGTTTGTCAAAGCTAGATATGGGTGATTAGTCCTTTCGTATTTGATTCTATTCAGCGCCTATTATATTGGGTCATTTCTGGTCAATATACTGACCTATGTAATCCAAAAGTGCTGAAACATTGTTCTCAAGTAATGCAAACAATTCATGTACCTACCGTTTTAAATCACCTATTTCCCCCAAGAATCTTACATGATAACACTGAAACATAAGTGACTGTTTTTCGGAAAATGACCCGCTGATCAAAATCCTGGTATCTGGCACACTTAACCATAATGACGAATGTTAGTAAGACCTAGTTGTACATCTTGGTCCAGAAATAAATACCTCTCCGTGTGTTTATTTTCCATTGGCCTTGCACGATTACATTCAGTATTATGTGCGCGAAAGTTCAAACAAGAGCATTAATTTCGGTCATTGGAAAGTAAAGGCTTTATTGGTTATACCTAAGTATGTATATCTATGACCATATAGAAGTGAGTTGGCCTTGAACTTGAAGGAACCTATTAGTGTTCAGACTCAAACCCTGTGATGATTTGACTGTGATGAATGCGCTGCATTTTGACGAGTCCTTGAGTAGATGCCAGATCGTGTTATAAACTGAAAATGTCAATGCAGCTACTGTGAATGACATGGCCCTGGGCTTCACGGACGGGGAGGAAGGGGAAAAATAGCATGAAGAGCCTATTTCCAAAACGAGATGAGGGTCATTCTCGGAATTTCGCATTCTTTTTGTTGCCTCCAGCCAGTTTCTAGGGGTTTTACAGGGTGAAAAACTATTCACTGAGTAAGAAGAGTGAAAAATAAGGGAGACCTGGTACACTCTATTTTGTTCTCATATATTCAAGAATTGTGGAAACGTCAGTCAATATTTGAATGGTGTATATCTCATCGGGGAGTGAAACCCTTCAAATGGTTAAGAAAAAGAGAAGAAGAAAACAGAATGAAAACCATCATTATTGGTGAATTCGAAAGTGTCCCTACCACAGTCAATGGTTTGCCAGTTTGGTGCTGATATGTGCTTTGCCCCCCCCCCGAAAAAAGTGGCGACGCCCATGGATAATGGGTGTTTGGATTATTTAACAATATGAAAATGGTCTTCATACCGTTTTCTTGTATTTAATACATGTATTAAGGACTGATTTCAAAAATCACAATGAAACAAAATACCATAAAACCTTTTTAGCCTGCCTTTATGACGGGTATTCATGTGCGCTATTCCAGGGATCAGCCCAGATACCACGGAGATCCCCACTTTCCAATGGGAGAAAAGCTACAGAATTGGCCCGTGTTTGACGCAATCATCGTGTGCCGCATTCTCATTGGATGACCTAGACTGGCATCTCCATGGTGACCATGAGTATTACGTGTCAGTAAGAGCGCAGAATGGTGCTGGATTGGCAACAGTGGGGACCTCATCCGTGTATAGACACATCGTGCAGTTGCCGTCTGTGGGTGTTGTATTGGACGTTGCTCCCCCTGGAGAGGAAGTGGCTGTAAAGTTCGGGGTAATAATGCCCTTCTCTAAAATCCGATTGCTTGTAACAGTCGATGGGCTGCTAAAAAATCACAGAATTAGGAAGTTGCAATCCGTATTGAGCTTACCCCTGTTAAGCTAATCTTAAGAGCTCTGAATCTCTTTCTTTAATTATATATTTCCGTAGCAATTCATGAAATGTTTTAACTCACCCACATACGAAATATCTCACTTTGAAACAGGAAATCAATTAATACTTCACAATACAAGAGTAGGGCATAAAAAGTATATGATTGTTTTACTGGATACTGAACTAACAGTGTGAAATTCAGTTCTTGATTTTGACCAGTCATTGATCCTCTGAATTAATCCTCTGCAACAGATTGCTAAGGACATTGACGTACAAATGAATACTACAAGCATTTCAGCTCGTTGGTTTGGCTTTGATCATCCTCATCTTAATATCAGCTATGAGATTGCAGTCGGATCAGGACGAGATGATTTATCAGATGTCACTCATGGTTTTGTCAATGTCGGCAGTGCAACATTCTATTGTCTGAATGGACTGGATCTAACTCCATTGACGGTAATGTGGACAGAAATTAAATTTGGAAGGAAAACTGCACCTTTCTTGAAACATGTAGTCATGTTAGAAAATTAAGGAAAGACTATTGTCTTTCTATAGGGTCCAAAGTTGCCTATATCTCCCAACATTATCTAAAGTTTATGATTTTGCCATTTAAAACTGACAGACATACTACGTGACTATCCGTGCGAAATCGGAAGCTGGTAGTGTCAATATTACATCAGATGGTGTCAAAATCATACAAATGGGTGAGATACTGGAGGAAGCCACAATCAAAGATGGACTAGGCTGTGGTCAAGATGAAGGTAAAGCCTTTAGCATTTTATTTGTTCGGTTCCACACTGATTTTTTCTAAAAATCGAAGCACGTGAACGTTATCTGATACTTGCTGTTACTTTTCGGGCTTGATACCCTGCATTTAGATCTCGTTTCCCTTATTAACCCTTACAGGGCTTAACCGTTATCTTAGGGAGTTATGGTTAAACTCTCTCTTTACCAATGAATCTCATATCATCAATATCAGCGATACCTGGTGCTGCACTGGAATCGAGCCAGCCACTCGATCCTGTTAAATTCGGTGACCGATAGGTTAAGACATCTGCATTAGTCTGCAGATAAGGCTGCAGATAAGCTTTTGATTTTGCTGTTCACAAAATTTGTGAACATTTAATGTCGGGTAGCACAGAATACAGTGTAAAATGGTCGTCAGTTTAAGGGCAAAACCTGGTGTGAAAATAACCGTATCATTGGACCCTTCCTCAAGATCTCTCCCCATTTCATAATTAGCAACTTCTTTAATCTTTTTTGCAGCATCAGTTCATCCAGGGTTGTCCCATCACTCACCTCCTGCCGATCACACCTGTCAGGACGACATCACCTACCAGTCCTCTACCTCAGACATCTCAGCTCGTTGGACCATCCCTGAGATGCTGCAGCCTTTTGTGACCAACGTCGTCTGGACGGTTGAACGAGAGATTGAAGCATACCAAGGTTAATGCAAGTTAGAAACAAAGTTTGGAGGAATAACAGTTTAATAAGTTTGATCCCAAGTAATCATTTTTGCTGAGCAAAGTTTCATTCTGTTCAAGGAAACTTACTAAATAAGCAAAACTGCGAGAAGGATATTAAGGATCGTCAAGAGAATTTTAACTTAGTTATTGACTTTGGTGATAAATTGGTTTATTTCCCCATAGATGGTGAGAACACAACGTTGGAATGGATCCCAGTGCTTGGTGATCAAGATCTTGGCATGACATTCCATCATCTTAGTGCTGGTATAGGGTTTCAAAATGGAGGCCACTACAGATCAAAGGTAGTAGAAAGCAACAGCTTACACTTACCTTTATATGTGCCCTGCCAAACCTACTGATTGGAGCCATGAAATTGAATGTGAATGTTCATCGGTTCATGCAGTGTACTTATAACGCAGTTCTTGTAACTGACCTTTTTTGCCCCATTTAACTGACGTTATTTGCAATTTTTGTAACACTGTTGTTGGGGATTTTTGTGCCTTTCGGAGAAGGCACAAAATGAAATTAAAATTGATACGAAAAGCTTGTTGCACATTTAATGACGCAAGTTATACTTCCAAAGTAACTTCAAATCTTGAATCTTTTTACAATGTATGAATGTATAGATTTAGTTCAAAAGTAAACACTCTGGAATCCATTGATTAATGTCAGGAAATTATATTCGGCAGGTTCAGTTCTGTCATGTTGGCGTTTGCTTCCGCCCTATTGTGACTGATGGGTTCTGGGTATTGTCCGAAACTCCTGAGGTTGGTCAGGTCACAGTCAGCAACATTGAGACTACACAAGGCAGGACAGAGATCCACGTGACCTTTCAGCCTTTTGCCCATGACTACGTCCGTCACGATGACCCTCAGGAATTGATGGATTTCTATGAGTGGAGCATTGCTCAGGATGGCAGTGATGGAGCCCTGCTGAACCAGTGGAAAAGGATTGAAGATTTGATGATCGCTACAAACGTGGTAAGATTTTTCCAGGATTTTAATCAAAATGGTCGTTTATGTGCATACACATTGAATTTCCGTTAAATCCAAAGTTACCGAGGCACCATTTCAAAATTCCTATCGGGTAGGTGTCAGACAGAACGATCCAACCGATACATTTATTATCGCTGGCTATCAGGTTAAGTGTTCTCAAGTGACCAATTCTAACTGATAAATGCCTTTTTATTGTATTACTCCCAAGGCTATGTGGTTTCAGTGGAGCAACACCCCCACCATTATTCACTCAACACAAGTCATTGTTATCAGTCAGATGGCCCTGTCATCTGACTTTGTCAACCAATAGAAATTTGAAATGATGCCAAACGGACTTATTGTATACCCCGGTAGCCTTTCGCCTAAAAACGTCGTTATTCGAACGAGAGAAATGTTTGAGCCACTTAGAGGATTGCCATATCAAGTTTTAAACATTTAATACGAATTGATGATACGAGTACTTACTTTGCTTTCTCAAAAGGTCTATTTCACTGCGTCGTACAGCGGACTTTTGGACCTGGATATTTGTCATCGGTTATCAGTCAGGGGCTACAACAAGGCTGGTCTGTCATCCATAGCCAGCACTGAGATCGTAGATTGTGATGAAATGAAGACGCTCATCGTCCCCCATGTTGTAATTGATGCAGATCGTAAGTATATCTTTCAGATTCAGCTGTATAAAGTGTTTTTTCTCTCATTCTCAGGGACAAGTCTAATACAATATTACATAAAGATGAAAGTGGCTGAAATCAACCTGTTATTCAGGAACCAGTATAGCACTCTCTGCGCAGATAAATTCAGCTACACTGCATACTTTTCCCATTTAAGCCTTCCGAGTCTCTAAGGATAGAAATCAATCAGTCGCAAGACACTATTTTTGCCTATTACAACTTAAACTAACTGTGTTTGGTGGTCACAATCACCGCTCTCATAGTCTGAATAGATAAATGGAGGTCCCCTGAATAAATACAGGAAAAATTGAAGCACTCTGGCAATTTACATGTATTTTAATCAGTTGTAAGTCCCTCAAATGATTCTGTTTTTAGAAATCTGGTTTTCAGTGCTTCAGAAGAAATATTCGTGGCATTTCCTGTAGAAAAACTCTTGGGGTTAATACACCAGAAATTGTCCGTAACTCCAAAATCAAAACTCATTTTAACAAATGTGCTTTTTTCACAACACGAGAACTCCCTTTTTTTATCAGATAAAGTCAGCTTTGATCAGAATGCGTTGTGGCCGGAACCAGACAAGAACTATATTTCATCCACATCCTCCTTATCGGCCGTCTGGCCCACACTGCGTCACAGGGCCTACGTCTGGGGAGCCATTGAGGACACTGGATCTACTAAATTTGGAGATTTGGACAGTGGTCTGCAGTATCCATGTGATCACCCTCACGTGAAGGCCTGCGGGGATACAGGTATGGATCACCCGAGAGTAAAAGATTTGGGAAAGGGATTGCTGTAGTGGAAGTTAAGAGAGAAATGAATTCTAATATTCCCTTGGGTTGATTTGCTTAAAAACGTGTTGGAGGCATTGCCAAAACTTTAGCAATGAGAAGTATATAGTTTAAATAATTACTATGCCACTCTCACTCTTCGGTTAATTATTCATTTTTGATAACTAGATAAAGAGTTCGTCAACGTTCCAGATTTAGCCCTTGAACATGGCAAACGATATCGCATTTGCATCCATGCCGATGAAGTGACACTTGAACACCAGGGTTGGAATGAACAGCTACCCGCCGTGTCCAGCTGCAGCAATGGCGTTGTCATAGATACGACTCCACCAACCCCTGGCTCTGTTTGGGTCGGAGGGAACAAACATCAACACTATCAAGTAACATACATGTTGCCGTCGTGTTTGTAAATAATGTAGAATATAATGTCAATCAGGATATTTATTTAGTTTAATTTGGTTTGGCCGTGTAATAGTTTCATCTTTTCTGAAGCCATATTTGCATTCAGGATTACCCAATTTACTTTTTAGATGTAAATTTAGAATTCTGCGTGAATAGGCGGTTTTTTTCTGATATGTGTGTAATGTTTTCAGAAAGGATTTTAAAACAAGTTTGTTTAGACTTTGAGCCCTTCGTGTTCTTGTTTTGTTCTTAAAGAGTTCCAACTCTGAGTTAGTGCTGCACTGGGAATCGTTTATCGACATTGAGGAACACGGCATGGCACGTCATCACACGGGGATCAGATACTATGAATATTCTATTGGTAGGAACAACATTTAGTTTGTAGACTTCTAAAATGCATACGTTCTACTCTTTGATTCGTAGTATTTTTGTCTAATCCATCACCTAACTTTTGCCCAAATGATAAGCAAGTGTGAATCAATCATTGAGCTTACATTGCTTTTACCTTATGTTTCAGTTAATTTACATGGTCGTTTACTTGTTTCATTTCAGGATCGATGCGAGGTGGCAGTGATGTAAAGGAGTTCACCCGTGTTGGAATTACTAACAGTGCTATCGTACATGGCATAAGATTACAAAATGGACACACATACTATGCTACAGTGAGAGGTATGCGTGGAAGGGACTTCTTGAGTTGAAAGAGAAGATGAGCTTTGGTGCACTTCTTTTAAAGTGGGGAACAAGATTTAGGCCTATGACGCTGCTGATACCATTTCCTAGGACTCAAGCTGTTTGTCAAGGCAGTCTATGGCGATTTTATTTTCAGGGTGACCAACTGTTCATTTAAACTCTCCTTTTAGCCATAGGTTCAAAGTGTTGAAGTTTACAAGTCTGCCTGGCCTTGTATCCATCAGCAATCAAGCTTCAAGTCACATTTGTTCAATATTTTAAGGTATCCATTTCTCCTAAGCAGTTCTGTTCAACGCATTTTTCATGATTATTTTTTGTCTAACCAGCCACTGACTTTGTTGGCCTGTCGTCCCAAGTGGTAGCTGACCCAGTCACCATTGATGCATCTCCTCCTGTTATAAACGGCGAACACACATTGGACGTTGGGGGCAGCTTTTTCCGCTCAACAACTTCTGTGTCAGCAAGGTAGACGTAAATATAATGACAGAGAGATTTGTAGACTTTGTGTTCCTATAGTTTTCTGGACAACAGTAATACCCAAATGATTGCGACATGTACTTGCTGATAAAAGGGTGAATTACCATAAAAGACAAAAGCAAAAGCAAGTGACACTTTCGAATGATTTAGCAAACATCATTAGCTGCGAATTCGAAAAGTTTAACTCTTTTTCAAATTTTTCAATGTGAGTGCATTTCGCAGTACACTTTTCGGACAATTAAAAGGTCCGAAATTATGCTCTTCTATTTTGGGATATACGTCGGGCATCAAGCATCCTCAATGACATTCAATTTTTTTATTTTCATGAATGTGCCCGATAGCAGGCTTTTTTCAAAATTTTAGAAAACGTAGTTGTTGAGGTTTGCAGTAGCACCATGCAAGAATATATCTCTTTCTGCGCACTCCTGGTTCTGAAAAGAACCGGAGGGTACTCTTCGGAACAGAACCGTAGGGTACTCTTCTGAAAAGAGCCGGAAAGCTCCATAGACCCACACATCCTCAGAAACAGGTATCCTTGCGTGGTGCACACCATTGGCGCTGACGTAGATACCTCCACAACTAATTTGCTCCCTTCACCACGAACCGCTCCAAAACTCATCTAGAGACAACATATGTTTGCACGGTATGTAATCATTCACACAACGCTGAAATTTTAAGCAAACAAGCTCAATTTGAGCTAATATCATTGGGATATTTATCAGAACGTTCACCAGAGTCAATGACAGAGCTTAAGTGTCTTCTAAAACAAGTCATTGATATTTCATGCAAACATTTTCTATAATTAAAGTCACCATTCACTACCTATAATTACTCCGGCTTCAACAAAACCAATTTAACAAAAAATGAGGATGACATGAACATAAAAAAAGCCAAACCAAATTAGTAGGCTAAGGACTGGGCGGCATTATTTGCCCATATGCAAACTGATAAAGGGTCTGTACTCTGAATATTCAAATTGTGGCTTGTCATCACACTGACGATGTATTTCCAGTTGGAAGGATGTGTTCTCAGACAAGGAGAGTGGTGTGGCGTATTACGAGTGGGCTGTGGGATCACATCCAGGTCATGCAGACATCATGCCTTTCACTAGAGAGAGCACAGCAAAAGGGGTCAGTGAACCTTCACGACCTTTGGCCCTTCAGGAAGGTCACTCATATTTTGTTTCTGTTAAGGTGAGCTATGGGAGAGCCTCGTATCTGACATTGTTTAAGTAGTAAAAATGCCAAGTGTCTTTCGTTTTTATTTTATTTCTGTGATAGCTAAACCAGACTCAAGTTTCATTTCTGTTGTGTTCAATTCCTTTTTAGGCCATCAATACAGTAGGCCTGATCACTCTGAAGACTTATGGAGCTTTCACGGTTGATGCTAGCCCCCCATTGGCTGGTCATGTTTTTGATAGAAACCCAGCCCATGCATCAGCCAATCACAGAGACCAAGACTTCCAAGAGGATCGAACTGTGCTTCGGGCAGCCTGGAAAGGGTTTCATGACCCGCATAGCTCCATCGTTGGGTATTCATGGAGGATCGGGTTATGTCCAGGGTGTAGTGATGTCGTGCCTGAGCAGCACGTGGGCTTAGACACTGGTAATTTTCAAAGCTAGAGCCTAATTGTTCATTACTTTTATGTGTATGTCTCTGCCCTGCATTTTGAAGCAAATGTTTATCCTTCTTAAATTGAATCACCGATAAGATTAAAGAACAGAGCGTATACTAGCAGTGCAATATCCTCGCAGCTTTGCCACCCGTCTAGTGATGAGTACTGTGTCTTCCCTCTCAGATGTTCGTGCGGAAAACCTGAATCTGGTGCCAGGTCTGACCTACTATGTGACAGTGACAGCTTGTAATGCTGCTGACCTTTGTACTTCAGTGACCTCTGATGGGGTCGTGGTTGATGACACGCCCCCTGTGCCAGGGCGGGTGTATGATGGCAGTGCTGGGAGCGGTGACATCAGCTACCAGTCCTCAAGGTGATATCATCATTGGTGGAGCCGATCCCGGAGGGGCAAGTCGGGGGGGGGGTGTTATGTCAGTTCAAGATCACAGTGAAGGGAGGTTACAAATCTCTGCTTTTGGGTAATCCGAGTATTTTCATCTTGAACAAACTTGAAGATGGGGGATGATTTATTTTCTGGTCACATGAGCCTGAAGGCTCCGCAACTTCACCGTTGGATAATATATTGAAGGTTTACTAAATTCCGCCAATACAGAGTCTTACAACCTTCCGCATCCTGTTTTGGGGGCTCTATTATTTAGCCGTTTCAATTAGAAAACTAACCAATTAAAGCAGAATTTAACAGATTGAAGCACGATCCTAGAACATATCTAGGGCAAATGAATGCTAAATATCTGGCACAGTACAAGCATTCGCCATCAATGGGTTTTGTTGTGAGTTTCTCATTTATTAGTTTCATCAGACCTAACTATGCCAGTGTCTTAAACTGATGAGTTTAGCCTTTGGTGTTTATTTAAAAAATCGATATTAACAAACCTGTTCATTTCTGAACTTTGTTACAATTCAAATCAGAAATAAATCGACATAAGTAATAAATAAAATCAAGTCTGCAAGATTAATCTATCTTCTGTGCTTCGCTACTTACACATTTATTAATGATTCACACAATGCTGATGAACCATTAGGCATATTTTTGGTACTGATATTTACATCGATCTGTAGGCTTCGACTGCAAGCACATTGGTGGGGCTTCCATGACCCTCACTCTGGTCTCTCCCACTACGAATGGCGTGCGGGCACTACACCAGGAGCTGTGGACATTCTCCCCTCTACACGCATTGAGCTATCAGAGGATGCTCTAATGTTCCTGCCGGCATCAGGCCAGCTGCCTCTGGGCACTGATATCTACATCACTGTGCGTACCTATAACCGGCTTGGTATGTGGAGTGAGGCTACATCTAATGGGTTCCGTGTGGACTCTAGCCCTCCTGATGTGCTGAAGGCACCTGCTTTTGATGAGACACAAGGGATGGCTGTCCAAGGTACCCAGGTACGAAGATTCTATCAGTAGGAGAAACTGAAAATATTGTTCAGTAAAGAAAACCGAAAACCAAATGTTTTGTTTAATCTGCATATATTCTTCTAGATTTTACGCGATGTTATTCACATTTCCTGGAAGTTCCGTGATCCAGAGAGTGGCATCAAAGACCAGTATGTATCGGTCAGCACACACCAAAATGGAGATGTCAGCATACATCCAGTAAAGGTAAAAAGTGCAGTTGCACAAAATGTGGTTAACTGTGAATAGCTTACTCCATGACATTTGGACATGAAAAAGTTGAGATATTTACTACCCTGTA